TCTTATAGAAACAAGAGCCATTACAAAGATACCTTTTCAAAATCACTTTCAAACACACATTCCACAAACACCTCTTTGAACTATTTTCCAAACAACACTTTGTACGCGTTCTTATAGAAACGAGAACCATTACAAAGACGTTTTCAAAATACTTTCAAAACGCACACCACAAGCACATTTACAAACAAAAGCAAGTGATCTAGCAAGAAACCAAGAGCCTGTAGATAACTATGGATGAAAAGGGTGCTAATACCTTCCCTTTTCATAACCTACCCCCCGAACTCAAGAAAACATCTCTAAAGGACTTTCCTGTTCTTTTCAGCCTTTCCTTTTGGATAAAAGAAAAGTCTGCGGCGACACTTGCTATCTGCAACAATTGCGATAAAACGCAAAACAACCAAGTCAGATCTCCCACCGTGTTACAGTAACATTTACCGCCATTTGAGGTTGGAGTGATTGGCCCGCAAATGTCAGAATGAATCAGCTCCAAGACTTGTTTTGCTCTCTGTGATTTTCCTACTGGAAAAGTTTCTCGATGTTGCTTTCTAACAACGCATTCATCACAAACTTGGGATGGACTTTCAAACTGTGGCAGAAATTTCACCATATTCTTCTGTTGGAGAGTTTCTAATCCTCCAAAGCTCAAATGACCATAGTGAAAATTACATAGCCATGACTCATCTTTCAATTCCGCTGAAAGACTAATTTGGGAAGTGTTTCGAAAATGTAGCGGGAACATGCGATTTGATGTCATGTTTATTTCAGCAACCAAGCCCTTTTCTTTATTCTGGATACAACACACCTCATCTTTGATATTAATCTCAAATACCTTCTCCTGGAGTTGTCCAACACTAAGAAGATTAGTTTTTAAATCAGGGGCAAAGTAAACATTACCAATACAATGTTTTGTGTTGTCTTTTGTATATATTTTGACATTTCCTTTTCCAATGATTGAAACTGTAGAGTTATCTCTAAACTTTATAGTGCTTTGGAATGATTCATCCAAGTCTGAAAACAATTATTTATCCCCGCACATGTGGTTGCTACAGCCTATGTCTAAATACCACATACTTCCATGGATTTTATCCTCCTTGTGACATGCCATCAAGAGAGAAATATCTTCTTCCTTTTCTTCCGCATAGTTATACTTCTGACCACAATCATGATGCAATTTGGTTCTGCACACAGACTTGTAGTGACCATATCTATGACATTGAAAACATTCAACATTGGACTTGTCATTATTTGGTCTTGTTTCCTCTAAATTTATGGTGGTTGTTACCCTTTCACGTATCTGATGCATAATCCTTATCTGATTTGTGATATGGATTATTGTCCTTCCACTTCCCTTTTCCTCTTTCGGAACTTTTAAAGGTTGAAGCCTTCAAAGTTTGTTCCTCAGTATCCTGTTGGATAATTTTTTGCTCATGAACCGACAAGGAACTTTGCAACCCATCAAGTGTCAGTTCATCAATGTTTTTTTATTATTCAATAGAGCAGACAATAAAATTGAATTTGGGCATCATTGACCAAAGAATCTTCTCTAAAATCTTCACGTCCTACATTTTTTCTCCATGAACTCTCATTTTGTTAGCCACTGCCATGGTTCTACACAAATAATCAGTGACAGGTTCACCTGTTTTCATTCGCAAACTTTCAAATTTTGTTCGAAGTGCTTGCAGTTGCACACGCTTTGCTCTTGCATTTCCCATATACCTTCTTTTCATAGAGTTCCAAATCTACTTGGAGGATTCTTTGCAAAGAATCGTCTCCAAAGTTGCTCGATCAATGGCTTGAAAGAGGTAATTCTTTGCCTTTAAGTCCTTTAACTTTAAAGCTTCTCTTTCTGATTTTTGTGCATTAGTCAATGCAGCTTCATCTCCTATCTCTGGTACTCCAGATTCCATAACCTGCCAATACTCCTTGGACCTCAAGAAATTTTCCATGAGCATGCTCCAATGGTCATAGTGACCATCAAAGCAGGGGATAACAGCTTGCACAAAGCTATTGTCGGAAGCCATGTGTGCTAAAAGAATAACAACTCTTCAATTTCTTGGTTCTCTCCTTCACGTTGTTTCTCTCTCAGTGCACTCCCTCTCACATAACCTAGCTCTTGATACCACTGATAGATATTGATAATTGAATTCAAGAGTATGATTTTATTGAAAATAGATAGCTTTATAAATAGGCAGTACAATAGAACAATTCAACAAAGCCACGAACCTAAAATCCCTAAAAACTAGCTACCCACTAAACAAACTAACAGCACTAACAACACCTGTAAAGACTAAGTCTTTTAAACATATTAAAAAACAAATAATTAAATTAACCTAACAATATCAACAACTGTGAGAAAATTCATTCCTAACTTCATAACCTGCATATACTGATGCAGAACATCGACGCACTGTCCTAACTGTTTCAAAAGCATGCTTCAACCTCCTAATTGTTTCAGAATCAGAAACCACCCATGAATGATAGGCCAACTTATGTTGCTAATAATAATTCCATAAATACATACGTACCTACATAAAAAAATCAAGAGATCAAATATAAGATAATTTGATGACAGACTTTACTTTAAACCTAAAAGATGACAATCATTGCAGTAGTAATTGGACAATGACATTGATTACTTATTTTTGTATTAATTTAAGTATGTTATTAAACTGGCCAGTTTCCTATTCATGTATACTTACACTCAACCTGAATAAACATTTGACACAATTAATAAACAAATCTGAGTCTACTAATTGCAGAAAATTTGTGATGAAGAATAAATAAATTTCCAAAACATATTAAACAAACATCAAAAGATAGAGCCTTAATTGGGAATCACAACCTGCCATCCAACTATTATGAGTGAGAAATACTAATTGTGCTCGATAATCAATGAAATAAAAGTAATGGGTTTTAACTTCAGGATCCTGTTCACTCCATACAACAAAATTCAAAACCTAAAGAAAATAATGGATTTTAACTTTTAAGATAAAGTAATGAGTTACAACAATACAAACCTCAACATCTGCATATTGAAAGTAAATGAAGAAAATATAGAGAACAGTGAAAAAGATAGGGAAAACTTACTCCATAACTAAAACATAACAAAAAATACCATTGGAATATAGAATTAGTCTTCAAATATGGCATTTAATTGATTAAGCGGTCTGCATACAAATCTGATAAATCTCTAAAAAAAATTGTACATATTATGCTGAAAATCACAAAGCTACACATCAATTTAGTTATTAGAATACAGTGTGATAGGTTATCTCAACAAAAACTTCTTCATCAATTCATTATATCATTCTTTTGGATTGCGCACAAATCGCGAATAACAACAATCAAAATGAAATCCAAACCTGTATGAAATTGGAGACGAAGTTTACCTATTTATTCTTAGCCATTCTTCAGGATTGCGCCCAAATAAAAAAATAGAAAGCTGAATCAAATAATTACCTGGAAAACATAAATCATTGATGAGAGTAAATGTAAATCGGCTGCTACATGCATCAGAAAAATGAATGAATACATGAATCAGGTTTTTGGAAGAAATAGGTTCTATTTATACATGTAGAGTAAACAGGAAATACCAAAATTTGAAAGAAATTACCTTCAAAATCTAACATTTGACATTGATGATGCACTGATTAGATTTTGGGAGATGAAAAATCTATAATATAAGAAAACTGATTCTACCCTAAACGCCTATTTTGTCCTTTTGTTCCAGAAACACAACACATGGCTTCATGTGTGTTAGGCAAACCAGATATTTGTTCCACTTAGCACACTTCACTTTTTTTTCCCAATTTTTTCTCATTTATTCTTTCCACTTCCTTCCACTTACAATCGGTTTTATACAATCCACAGTCTATCTTTCTTCTTCAATATGTGACAGTTACTGGGACGGTTTCTCTTCCAAAATCTAAACCATACAACACCCATTATTCCACTACTGTTTCATTTTCCTATTTCACCTTCACATTTACTCTTTATTCTTCCAAATTTCATTGATACTTCCCTCTCTCTTCTTCTTCTGATGCCTCTGTCTTCTTCTTCTTCATCATTTTAATTTAATTTATATTTTGTTTTTAGGATTTGAAGCTCCGTGAAGCCATCGTCGACGATTTGTCTTTTTCCCCTTCTTCCATTTTTTATTCTTTGTTCTTTATTTTCTCTATTTATTTTCTCTATTTTAGAAAATTGATTTGGTTTTTATGTTCACTCTTTTTTTTTCCAGGTTCTTCACGATTAATCTATGGGCTTCTAACTTCCTTTGTCGTCAGCAATAGAAAGGTATGATTATGTGAGAAATAGAATAATTGGAAAAGGTTTTCATTTTTTAGGTGTTGATAATGAAAATGAGATAATTTGTGGTTAGGGTTTTTATATTAGAAATTGAGTTTGATGAGTTTGAAAAAGGGATAATGAAAAGGGGATAATTTTGTTGGTGTTCATTCCATTTGTTGTCCGCAAAAGGATTGATGCAGGTCTTCTACTCCATTATCAATTTATCACCAAAAATTTGTATTCACATTGTAAGTCTTATTGCAAATGAATTTTATAGATATGATATATTCTTACAGGGAAATAAAAAACTGATTCGAAAAGTGGAACATTCAACATCTTTCTATTGGACTACAATTTTGAAGAAAGACGACAAAATTTGTGGGATCCTATCACTGCTTCAGACCAGAATATTTGAAATAAGGTGAGAGTGCAAAAACTACGAATTCTAGAAAATTAAATTCACTTTACATTATATACTGAATTTATTGGTTTTTTCTATCATGTATAATTGATAAATTTGTGATTGGTTGTGTAAATATCGTTACCAGATTTGGAAATGGTGACAGAAAGCTCTTTATTATCAATTTTAAGGTGGAAATGGTTGATAATTATAAGTGACAATAATAAATCGAGGTTTCTGAACCGATTATGTGATATCTTCGGATATATATGTTATCAAGCATGTTGTTGTTTTTCATCTATTAGTTATTATGTTGTCTGCTGCTGCAGAATTTTTGCGCATGTGCAGTTTTAGAGCACCTGAAACATGGTATGCAACGGTTGTGAGAAGCTATAACTCAAGCTATGAATTTTCTAATTTTGTTGTTGGTTGGTGTTTCCTTTGTTATTTTATAAACTACGCAATTTCTCTTATAAATCACCACACATTTTACAATACTCTGATGTTTGTGTTATACATATATATACATGTATAGATAATATGTACATATATATATATATATATATATATATATATATATATATATATATATATATATATATATATATATATATATATATATATATATATATATATATATATATATATATATATATATATATATATATATATATATATATATATATATTCTATAAAAAATTCAATCTACAGGAATTGTTGGTCAAATATCTCCCAAAACATGGGCTGCTATAGAAGTCTTCTTAGGATCGATTGCCATTGAAGATTATGACTCAATGGCATATTCCTTAATTCAAATGGGTGCTACAAGAAACAATGTTGTTGCTGATGCCTTTTCCAGAGATTTAGAGAAAGTTTTCTCATCAATTAAGGCAAATGTATTGTATCACACATAAATTCACTTGTCAGTTATACGCATGATAGCGACTATGTAGATCAATGTTTACATGTTTGCTAATTTGAGGAGCATTTTTATTCTTCATTTGTGCTTGCTATTCAAGTACAAGAGTTGGAAACTGAAGTCGTTGTAGCATTTGATTAATTTTCATTTTTTATGTTGGATAGATGATGGACCATGCTTTTCGTTTTCCTCAACTGCATTCTCTGATATAAGTATTAAGTGTAAAAGTAATTAGCTTTGTTATGTTATAGTTATAAGTTTAAAAATATTAGCTATCATTTTATTGACATATTAATGAGAGAAAGCGGAAAAATATTGCACTGATATAAGTATAATATGTAAAAATAGTTATCCTTCATTTCATTGATATCATTTGTTACAAGCAGGACTATTTTACATTGATATGAGTTGTTATAAGCAAAATTACAATTTAAAATTGATATTAGTTATTACAAGCAGAACTATAATTTCACATTTGATGTACAAACAATATAATCAGATTAAATAACCCTCTCTTTGATAAATGGACCATAGAAATTTAAAACACAATATGTGAGAATTGCAATACATCTTCCTTTAGGCACACCATAAGAGTTCCAAAGTAGTTGTCCAAGAAAGAACTAGAGCTATCTTCCATTAGTTGTACGGGAAAATACTATTTGCCTCCAACTTTAATTTGTGCATAATACACTCTCTGCACAATATTATTATACCAGAAAAACCAAATCAATGTTACCATACAAAATCTTAATATTGTTGTATCAGAAAAACTAAATTAATGTCAGCATAAGAAGTCATAATACTGTTATACCAGAAAAACAAAATCAATGTTACCTTAAAAAACTGCTTTATTACTTAAATTTGTTTCATAAAAATTTCAATTTGAAACATCAATGTTATCAGATGGAATCAAAAATTATATGCAAGCTGAAACGACATCAGATTCAATTTCTGATTTGAAATCTGCTCCATTACCCAAATTACAATTTGAAACATCCTCATGCCATCACGTCCTGTTCATCGCTGCAACCTGCACCAAATTCATGAATCGCAATTGCACATATTTCCCCTAACACGCAATTGCCGCTGATTTTCTCAAATGATTTTCCTATACACGCTAATTTTCATCGATTTCTCCAAACACGTGATTGCCGCTGTTTTCTCCAAGCGGTTTCCTCAAACATGCTAATTTTACGTTCTAAAATCACTTTCCCTAATTGTTGTCGTTGTCATCATTTGTGAGATCTACAGATCTGAGTAATGAAATGCAAACATAGATTTATGAGGAAAATATGAAGTTCGGTCGCTCTGAGAAAAAAGGAAACAGAATGAAAAATAGAAATTGGACCCCCCTAGTTTAAGGTTTTTGGAGTTTCGATCCCCCTAGTTTAAAAGCCAGGTTTCTAGTCCCCAAAGTTTTCAAATTTGGGATTTTTGAAGCCCCCTCCATCTGGCTGCCCAAAAAGTGACATGGCACAGAGAGAGTAATGCCACGTATTATTATTATTATTATTATTATTATTTTTTTTTTTTTCCTTTCGAACCTTAATTTTGCCCATGAGGAGAAGAAAAAAAAAATTAAAAAAAATAAAAAAAAAATAATAATAATAATAAATAATAATAATACGTGGCATTACTCTCCCTGTGCCATGTCACTTTTTGGGCAGCCAGATGGAGGGGGCTTCAAAAATCCCAAATTTGAAAACTTTGGGGACTAGAAACCTGGCTTTTAAACTAGGGGGATCGAAACTCCAAAAACCTTAAACTAGGGGGGTCAAAACTGCATTTAAGCCTAATTAATATTATACAATTAAAATAATATATGAATAATTAATATTATTAATTATAACATTCATTCAAATAAAACAATATATGCATATTTAATAAAAGTAATAAATTACTAAAATAATTTTAATGAGTTATATTAAATAATTTTAATCAATTATATTAAATAATTGTTTTTAATTTAAATTTATAATATTAAATGATAAAATTAAATATGTTTTTTTATCTTCTATATACAATAATTTTTGTTCGTAATTTATCTAAAAGTTTCTTTAAAATATGATACTATAAATATTTTATTACCAAATTTCAAGTTTCATGTTTGAAATAAATATTTATTTGATCTTATTGATAAAACATTGAATTATTATTAATGTAATAATTTAAATAATGAATCTTTAATTATTTTTTTTTGGTAAAATTAATTTATTTTTAATTTAAAAGCATCTATTTCTTTTAAAAATATGATCAAAATATTGAATATTAACGAAAACATGAAGTTACTGATAAAATATTGAATATTAACGAGAACATAAAGTTTTTGATTAAAATAGTGAGTATTAACATGAACGTGAATTTAATAATTAAACTATTGAATATTAACCAGAACACGGAATTATTGATCAAAATATTGAAGATTAACGGGAACATGAAATTACTAATCAAAATATTAAATATTAACAGGAACATGAAGTTACTAATCAAAATATTGAATATTAAAGAAAATATTAAATTACTGATCAAAATATTAACGGGAATATGAAGTTACTAATCAAATTATTGAATATTAACGGAAATTTGAAGTTATTGATCAAAATATTAAATATTAACGGAAACATAAAGTTATTGAATATTAACGGAAATATAAAATTACTGATCAAAATATTAAATATTAATAGGAACATTAAATTACTGATAAAACAAAGTCTATTAATTATACATTCAATTAGTTTTTTTTCCGAAGTTTTATAAGCAAAAATCATTTTTATACTTCATTTTACCATAAAAATAATATAATGAATATTATGAAACTTGTCCACATAGAGACCAAAATTATTATAAAATTTAGAATACTTCTATGTGAATTTTTACCAATAATAATTTATTATTTTAAATTTAAATTTATTTCTTTTTAATTTCTATTTTTTACTCAATATTAATTCTTCAATTTTTTTATTATTACACTTTAACTTTATTTATACTTTTATATAATATACTAACTATTATTAAATATTTTGTTTTAGTTTAAATTTATATTTGAGTTCAAATGCATGTAACACAGCAGTATCCGTGCGAACGCACGGGTATCCCACTAGTTAGTATTAAAGGGATTGCATCGTGAAACCAATTGAAGCCGAACCGTCAAACCTGTTTATTTACGGAGGAAGGATTCGTTATAACTATTGAGAAACCTATATTGATTTCGGGTTTACATCGAGAAAGAATAATAAAGTTTGCCCTTTTTTATATGGGCGGTGGAAGTATGAGAATAGAAAAATGTATTTGGAAGGACACCGATTAAGAACAATAAAGAAATATAAAATGTTTTAGAACACTAAAGAAATTTCGAAATAATTTAAAAAACAAATTATAACAATTATAGTAACATTTTTTAAATTAGAAATTATTAAAATAGTAATCTGGATAATATATTGACACTTGACAAATTTGCCAAAATACTCATTTTACTTTATTATATTGTATGATTTATAAAAAATTTGCACATTTTTTTTGGATAAATACGAATCAACTTATATTTAAAAATAATTTTTTAAGAGTGATGAAATGGATTAGGGAACATGGAGATTTAATTTCTGCATATTCACTTTGTTTGTAGTTTATTGATTAGGCTTGTAAGGATATGGTTTGATGTCTATAGTTTTTGTTTTGGGCTGGGCCTGCACTTGGCCCAAATTCATACGAGACTCAATCCAACTATGTTGCTTGAGAAGACCTGTTGACCGAGTTTGTCCTCAACTATGTCGGACAACAACCTCATCTTTTAGGAAAACGCGACTTCATCATACGGGGATAAATCTAAGAATCGCGAGGAGGCTCGTCACCGGTCAGGAGGACCTCGTGAACATCCTCCATTCTTCTTCTCGACCAAGACAAGCCCTCCCGGACGACCTCACAGCTGGCAGGGAGGGCCCACGACAGACAGAAGGATATCGCGAACATCCTCCTCATAGGATTGACTCACAACACCTCTGAATATCACGGAGTCCTCTTGGTCCCGAAAACACTGCATTCATATCCTCCTGACTATTAGGGGGAGTCCATCCAGGTTGGGGACCACATGTTGGCCCCACTATGCACGTAAGACCTGGAACTCTCCATTTTGGGCCTACTTTCCCAGCTCAATGATGGGGATCTTGGCCCAGCGCTGGGGCTATAAATACCCTCTCACTTGAGAGGGTCAAGTATTCACTCTTTCATACTCACACTCATACTTGCTCGCACTGCTCTAAAAATTACTTTGGCATCGCAGTGTCTTGCAGGTATCTCCCCCCCATCTTGTTTCCAGTCGCTGCTTAACTCACAGCTCGTAGGTTTTAACGATCCATTCTGGTCAGGTAAAAGAGGTCGAGGAGGACACCCGACCATCATATGAGGTGGCCCCCATCCAGATAGCTTTCTCCGTAGCAAGGTCGGAGGACTTCTGCGTCCCCGAAAGATATGAAGAATAACCTTTGTCCATGCATAGCAGGTGGGAGAAATTCCCCTCCGCCATGGTTATAACCTGCGGGGGGTTTAACGACATCTCCATAAACTTCGCGAAAAGAAAGCTCGACGAATTGATGAACGCAGCCCCGACTCAAGCGGTGACATTCAATAAGGTCAAGGACAGATCAGAACCAATCACTTTCTACCTCGAGGAGTTTCCCAGAGGGGCCCCTAACTCGAGCATCCCTCTGTCGGTGAGGGAAAGAATGGCTAATTTTGATGTTCACCGCATCTTAGTCGACGAGGGGAGTTTCGTTGATGTTATATACATCCATCTGTTCCGAACCTTACAGCTCGATGATACCCACCTTTCATTATACATGGGGTCCGACCTGCAAGGCTTCAATGGCTCGACCTCCAAACCATGGGAGTACGTTGAGCTTTTCTTCACCTTCGGGAAAGAAACCGCCTCTCGACAGATCAAGGTGCGATTTCTGACCATCGACTGCCCGTCTCTCAACAACTGCATCCTAGGGAGACCAA